TGGCTTAGAATTTAAGTAAATTAGAACGCTTCAGCCATTTAATGATTAAATTTAAAAATGGAGAAGCGAGACCGAGTCTCGATTAACAAGTACCGTTGTTACGATAATATAAATAATTTCTGTCAAAACTCTAAATAGTGAAAACTTTGCTCAGAATAAAGTAATTTGAATGAAATTTTCTATATACAGATATTGATTTTGCATTAGTTCAGTAACTACAATACTATCCAATGAAACGGTGGAAGGGGGCGTGGAGGGATAACGGAACTTAATGTCCCGCCAACTCACGTTCCCCAATTATATGTTAACGATGCATTGCTACATAACTTATCAGTTAGACATTTATTCAACTCCCTAGACCATTGGGTGGCTGATATATTGAGTGAATTACATAGTGCCCACGTTGAGCTGAACGCCACTCACCGACACTGCGGATTAAAGAAAAATTTACCTTATTTATTGTCAAAACTTCAAACATTCATAACGGTCTGACTTTTTTAAAGATACATTATGGGAGATTAGAAACAGAAACAGAGCAGACAGTTCTTACTATAATAGTTAAAAACTAGATAATGTAAAGGGTATTCGCGGAAAATGTCAGACAAATTGGTCCACTCTGAACCGAGAATTGGGCGATTGAAATTTCGGCCTAGCCTCGATCATCATTGTCGGTACGATAAAAAAAACATAGTACGATTATCCATTTCATGATTAAATCATGAATGAATGTTGAGCAGCAAATCGGATCCTAATCCAGTAAATATCGCAGGCTAGCGATGACACCGAGAGTTGATTATGGTCTGGATAAGTTAATTAATGTATAATTAATAATTTAGATAACATTTCAGACCTAGTGAAAGACCTGCAATAGGCAGATTTAGAGTTTAGCGTCCACTCGACACAGACTAGGTCATTTCGTGACTGACATATGGTTTAATTCTATTTTAATAATTCGCTTGTGCGTAGGAGTTTTTAGCAGTGGGAGGAAACCGGAGGACCCGGAGAAAATTCACGAGGTTGGACAGGCAACCCTACTCCTTCTCACGTACAACCCTGGATTCGAAACTACGCCAGTTGACTCAATGACAGGCCTTATGATACAGCGCGCATGTGCTAACCACTCGGTCATCCAACCTCCCACTTTCAATGGGATAATGACGGTGAATCTTACTTCCCTTATTTCCAAAAAAAAACGTAATTAAAACATTCCCTCTACTCAATGACAGGCCTTATGATACAGCGCGCACGTGCTAACCACTTGATCATCCAACCTCCCACTTTCAATGGGATGATGTCGGTTAATCTTACTTCCATTATTTCCATACAACGTAATTAAAACATCCTCCCTACCCCATGTTATCTTTTTAGACGAGATATGATGACCGCCATCTTGACAATAAACCGTTTAATGGCTGAATTAATGATAAGCCAGGTTTACAGCAGCTGTTGTCGATCGTCTATTGGACTAATAATTCATCAAATTAATTCTGTCTACGAAAACATGTCTACAAAATAGTCTCTGATTTATTAGGCACGTGCTGTAATCAATATGGCGGATCAAATAAACCGGATCTTCTCTTCTTATGTTTGAGAGTCAATCAAGGGACATAAATCAGGTAGATTTTCTTAATTACTTGACATGTGCACTGCCATAAACGTTTAAAATCTAAGATTGCAAAGTTTATTCATTACCAGTTGAACAAGTCTTTATCATTTATATGGTGGCTCGGTAACCAAGAAGTCTGGGTTCGATCCCGCTGTTTTCTGAGAAATTCTTCGATATTTTCCTTCGAGGTTCCCCCTTCTCAGCGGTGCCGGGTTGGGTGCCTAGCGAGGAAAGGTATCTGGTCTTGTGGATAATACCAAAAACGCGAGGTCCCGTGGATGCCTTGGTGTGAACGTAAAAGATCCCCTTAGAGTTAGAATTCGATACAGGAGAATGGCGTATGCCCATCTTCATTAACCCAGTTGGTGCGGCACATCAGGTAATAACCATGTTCGAACGTATTTTCCTAAAGGTGCTGTAACAACCAAAAAGCTAAATATTACTGATTTTCAGAATCGTTAACAACAGATTTTTTACGGCTTTAATTGTTATCGTATTTAAGACGTCGCTATGCCCGACATTGGTTTCAGAACGGAAGGACCAAAGGAGATTGTTATTGACACCGGTTACCACGGATTTCACTCATTCTGTTTATTATTTTCTCTTTCTTCAATTTGCAATTTTTGCTTGGCGATTTTTGTTGGAGTTTATGGCGTAGAATCGACGAAAAGGGTATGAATTTACATTTTTGTCAGGTATCAGGGAATATTCATGCGTTTGAGGTGAAAGGATACTGGTTTTATTTCCCGATCATATCGAGCATTACACGACTATTATAAAGGGGGTATAGCTACGATGTTTTTAATCATTATAAAAAAAAAACTATACTCCTATGCATTGTTTTTTGTTTATTTTTTTTGTTGGAGGGTGCGGGGGGGGTCACGTACCATTTCTGTCACGTACAAGCAGCGTGCACGTTCAAGAACCAGTGACACTTGAAATTCGAAAAAAATAGACGGAAACTATGCTAATGGCGTATGGCCTTTCTATTTAGCCCAGGTGGTAAACTCCATTTTATGTCTAAAGAGGGTGTGTAGTCTTTGGGGGTACTCGATTGAACGTTCCAGAATTAAATTCTCTCAGTTCCAAAAATAGTGTCAATCGAGTGAAAGGGGGAATTTCGGAGTACAACGCATGTGCAATGCATAAAAAATATCTCAACCAATCGTGACAACTAAAACATATTTGTTACTTAAAATACGTCACGATTCTACTCACACCACCCCAACTGTCGGGACTGGCAGAACTGTGTCAGGGCTGAATTCCAAATCACTTGATTGTGAATCTGTCAATTCGAGACGTTCCTGATGCAGGACGGAGAGACTGACAAGGACAGCTGTCTAGTCGTTCGGATGGGACGAAAAGTGCCGCTGTCCGGGCAAAATGTACCCCATAGTACACTGTATGGCGTTTGCCCGTCTTCATTAGGGCAGTACAGAGCAGAACAGTAGGACGTTAAACTCCATTTCATTTCATTTTATCTACATAAAGGTAGACAACTCTCTTACAACTAGCCACGAATGGAAACTGATAATGTTCACAGTGTATGTAGTGAAAGATAGTCGATTTGATTATAAATTTTACGATAAAATGAAACAACGTCCAGTTTTTCTGCACATACTGGGCTATGAGGGAATGTTGTCCGGGGGGACGGGCCTCGGTTTCTCGTGCAACCCGAACGATTATACGTTGTCCCTTGCCAGGCCCGCTGTTCAGCATAGCTGACAAGAGGAAACGACGCCGAAAAATCCTTATGAACTCTCTTGGCCAACGCAGGAATCGACTTCTTGAATATTTTAGAAAATAGTGTATTAAATATATTCAATATTTATAATAAATATATATATATATATATATATATATATATATATATATATATATATGAGAGAGAGAGAGAGACACACACACCATTACCCACCCACACAAGCATACAGATAAATGGTCTAGGGTCTTCGGGGGCGGATCCAAGGATTTTTGCAGGGGGGGGGGGTCATGTTCCAAAGACAATGCATCTCCCCCCACCCCTCCCGCATGGTCTCTATGGACATTTTGGAGTATATACATACACATTGAGCTTTTTAAACAGAGAAATTCAACACCTCGTTTGACGTCAATTTTTATTATGAATTAATACAATGACATTGCGATTCAATTTTATGGATGCCAAGCATTAATTGTGATATCACATAATGTCTATATCATTATCTCGTGCTTTGAGTGCCCATCCTGTCCCAAATCTTACGATAAAGGATTTAGCACACGGCCGAGAAACCTTTCTCATAAAAAGTGTTGATTTACAAAAAAATTTATGTAGCTGAGCAGTGTGGGGGGGGGGGGATCGACCCCCCCCCCTCTGGATCCGCCCCTGGTCTTGTCATGTAAATAAATGGTCTTGTTATGTGAAAAAAGCTGATACCGTTGACTTATGAAGGGGATCACAGTGGTTAAGTGGGTAAGACGCTGGCTTGCTAGCCTGGAGGTCGGATGTTCGATCCCTGCATTGGCCGAGAAAGTTCATCCCGATTTTCCGGCGTGGTTTCCCCTTGTCAGTGATGCAGGATAGAGGGCCTTGTTCACTTATGCATACACACTTCTCTTTATATTATTGTTTATCTATAGCTCAGGTTAATTGATTTTCCATTAACAGTGTTAATTCACTGATCTTTATAAATATAGCATTCACCTCCTTTTAATCTCTGTAAGATATTTCTGTTTTGTAGATTTAGTTCCTAATGGCCCCTTAATCAAAAGCTTTAATTGCATTTGATTATTATCTTTGTTGCATATTCTGTATATATTTGCCCACAATTCACATATTTGTATCATTTGCTTGATCAAGACGAGAGTATTCTCATCGAAACGTCGCTTAGTATCAAACTCAGTAATTGTGTATCCATAACATTGTACCTCGTGTCTCGCACTTGCAGACCTCTATCACAGCGGGAGTAGATATTTGAATGTTACAGCAAGGTGACGCGTGGGTGTTATACATCGAATTTCAGCCGATCAAGCGGTCTATTGAAGATGTCTCTCTAGTTAATATGTCCGCCATAATTTCTCGGGAGGCGGGGGGGGGGGGGGTGCTTCTTTATACATTTCTTATTTAAAACACAAAAACAATGTAACTATACTTTGCTCTGTTGCCGAATGGTTTAACGCCTTTAATCATAAGGCCTGTCAGTAAGTCAACCGGCATGGTTTCGATAACCCGCTTGTTCGTGACAAGGAGGGTCGCCTATCCAACCTCGTGGGTTTTCTCCAACTGCTAAATCCCCTACGCACAGGCGAATTATTAAAATGAAATTGAATTACAATTTGTAAGTCCCGGACTTAATGGCCTAGTCTGTGTAGAGTTAACGAACATTAAACCCCATTTCATTTCATCTCAGTTTCAGAACGTAACCAATTATATAACCTATGGACCTGCATACCACCTGTTCGTTGGTGGCGACATTACAGGGTCACAGATTGGTGATCGCAACAATATGATAGAAAAAAATTATCATTTACTTGAAGAAAGAATTGAATCACTGGAGGAGCGAATTATGATGCTGGAGAATAGGCCAAACCAAGCAGGAAATGACCAACAAATAATAATCCGAGCAGACGACGTTGATCTGATACTGGAAGAGGAATTAGCTAATAATCAATCAGATGACATTGAACAGGAATGTCACGTGTACGCTAATGTCTGTACAATAAACCAAGCAGACGACCTTCAACAAACCAGAAACCAAGAAGACAATGTTTGTACAATAAACCACGCAGATGACCGTCAACAAACAAGACACCAAAATGACATTGACCAGATAACGGAAGAGGAATCTGATGATAAAGTTAGACTGAAATTATCTGAACATAAATTGTAAGTATGAAAACTTATCTGCTCAGTCGCAAGAGTTATCTCAAATATAGATAACTCTTGCGACTATATTTTTTTTTATTTCAACAACTTATCCGACATTTGATCATACCTTTATCTTTCAAAAGGTAAGACAAACAACCCTTTTCACTAAAATCACAACGGAGACACCACGTCGTAAACAATGAGCCAAGAAAGGGAAATATAGGTTTGCCGAGTTGATATAGGCGACAGAGAGTAGTAGTAAAATCATTTGTTTCTCACTTGTTTCCTACTGAAAGAGAATCGGTTTTAGACGAGTTATTTGCTCTTGGATTTGATTATCAAGTCTAAAAAACAAATAATAATATGTGTATATAACGCTTTTACATTTATCCTCATTTATTGTCTACGGTATCACCTCAGATGGAAGTGGACGTAAAACTCCAGGAAAGAACGTCCTCATTTGTAAATGTGTATTTACTTGTTATTTATTGAATTAGTATTTACAGATTTCTATAGTTTCAGGCCAATGGAAGACCACGGCGTCATAGAAGTAAGGATGAATATAACCATAAAAGAATTAGTCAAAGAGGTACGCAAACATTTGAATAAAAGAGTTTGGGTTATGCGTATTGATAGAGTCGAAGAAGGTGGCATGATTTATCAAACTTTGGCTGAGATAGGTATCCAAGATGGCGATGAAGTTCGGATTCTATGGTAACAATATTCATATTGAAGTATCCCTTTGACCAAAAACCATCGAATTCCTTTCATTCTACAAATAACGACACGTGTTAAATTTTCTATTTATACTGTTTAATGGGTATTAAGAACTTGGACATTAAATTAAATACAAGAGTTCTAGTTTAAAATGTCTTATGAGATGTGGACACAGTGACGTATTTCCTATTCACTAATGTTTTTATTGCTCATATATATATATTTAGTTTAGTGCTGTGCTTGAAAACGATAAGAGACGCCTTGTAGAAACGTAGTTCTAATTAAAATACAGTAAATGTTTGCATAGAGCTATTTACATTTAAGTTAAATATTCAGTTCTAGAAAATCGGAAAGAGTAATTATACTTTGGGGGGGGGGGGGCATGGCAGTTATGTCCGACAGTATGATTGGTCGATATCTTCGAAGGCCAAATTTCATAGTTTGTTGTACGAATTGCCAAATTGCGTGGTCTGGCCATAAGGCACTTGTCACAGACAGTGTTAGCCACAAATTCTAAATCTGCCATGTACAATTCCCCTGGTGTCTGTCATTTTGCCTGTCACAGATTTTTTTCCAATTAACCAACGTCTTATTGTACCCCGCCGGTCGGTCGGTCCGTTGTTCCGTCCGTCGGTCACACTTTTCAGGACACAATAACTCTCCTAATTGAGCTAGAATGTTCAAACTTGGTGTAGGTGTTTATTAGGTCGATGCAGTGATGGAGTTGGAAGATGGGGATTTTCTGCTTAGCGATAACTTTGAAAATGCTTGAAAAGAAACCCTAGACAAACTACACTATGTTTTTAAATATATAAACTGTCTCCGGAGCGACTCCACAACCTATTATACTAAGTTCACATTTTTATTGATATTGACAAATAGATTTTAATCTCGATCACACTAGTATTTCATTTACAATTTTATGAATATTTTTGGCCTGTTTTCCAATGTTGTTTGTTTTTACTAGTGTGTATTTATATTTATGTATATTATAACCTACAAGATATACTATACAAGTTCACCCATTTTATTATGTGTGTGTGGGTGGGTGTGTGTGTGTGTGTGTGTGTGTGTGTTTTTGACATTTTAACTATGTATATACATCTTTTTGTTCTTTTATATTAAAATTATGTATGTGTTTATTTAACATACAATATTATATACCATTTCAAGCCTTTAATTACATATTATATATATATATATCTTTGTGTGTTTTAACTATGTATATACACCCTTTTGTTCTTTTGTATTTATATTATGTATATATATATATTATTTAGCGAGAGGAGTTTTACATAGACTAAGCATATTCCCCAATCCCATTCAGATATCCTGAATACAAATATTGTTTGACAAAAAAAAACATTTGAAATCAACACTGTTGTTAATTCACATAGCCTTGCCTACAAGGTAAGTAGGGCGGATCTTCATATTTGGCTCTCTGATGTCCTTACTTACAATAGACAGAGAGAGGGTGAGAAATATAGTTTAACGTTCACTCTACACAAACTAGAACATTTCGGGACTAACCTATGATTCAATTTTTTTTCACTAAAGTCCCATCTATCAGAAACCATCGCCACAACTTATTCCCCGAGAAATGATCATGATTCCTATCAAGTCTGTCTGGCTATATTGTGAGTAAAACCATGTAAAACTAAACAGTGGGCATCGCCATAATGTGTAGTCTGTTAATAGGACATGGGTTTGGTTTCGGGCTTCTATTATTTAATATGTTAAAAATGATCATGAACGTTTGTGTTTGTAGATTTATTTTAACGAATCAGTTGATTAATTGGTACCCTTCCTGTGAAGAACGTTATGTAATTTTCGGGGTTCGAATTGAGCTTTTTACTTCATTGTGTTGATTATTTTCCTTTAACTGGCGAATTCTCATACTCCTCGCAGTGTTTCGTTTGATTAGACTCACGATTTTATTATGCCCAATTAACCAGTGCATGGCAGAATATTGCAGAGAAACTAATTGCGTGGCAAACGAGGCTATCAAAATGGATACAATGTAAACAATACTGCTTGGAAACGAACAAGACATTTATCGTTTGTAATACCTTAAATCCCTGTCCAAAGTTTTAGGGAAGACCCCAGATTAAACAAATGGCTGTCATGTTGCTGTGCTTGGGGATAGATTTGATTGAACGGGAAGAATAGACACATTCCCCCCAAAAGCTCAAATATCAAAAGCCAATCCAGCAATGGCCGGGAGGGGAGGGGGTATTTCTTGGGCCATTGCTTCATTAATATCGTAAACTCCCGAATTCAGACTTTGTAGAGGATTTATTTTTTAACACAAGAAAATTGGGTTAATTAAATTCATCTGAACAAATCTGAATAGGCTAATAGAACAAAAGAACATTTTCATTTGTATATATTGGTCAGGTATGATAGGCCTAGTAATCGACTAAAAGTGGCCATTTTACATATACTCAAAGCCATTAAAAACGCAATGTCTAATTCGTGAAATATTTCTGATAAACGTTTTCTTGGGCTTTCCTATCTTATGGCACATAGGTGAAACTTGTGATGGGTCTCTTTTTGTGGGATTCTGGGTTTGAACCCAATATCAGTTCTCGATAATGAACTTTGTTCGTGCAAACCCAATGCTTGTCTTTTTTCACAATTTTAAGCAGTCCCATGTCACACGTATTGCACGTGCATTTCCTGCACTCCGACCCTTTAAATACAAATCAAAATTTCAACATTCATCACTTCGGAAAAATGCCACGTCTTACACAAGAAAAAAGGAACAGAGCTATTGGCATGATGGATCAGGGGGGTCTATAGGTAGCCGTCGCCAGACACTTTAATGTCCACCCATCGACCATTGCTCGCCTCAGACAACGCTTCCACGCCACTATAAGAGTTGCCGATCGACTCCGACCTAGAGCACCGCCTGTAACAAGTTTTCCTGATGGACGTACCGTATCTACCAACGTCGGCATGAACGCGTTGTTCGTAACTTCGTGCTGGAAAGGGATCGTTTCCGGGGAGGTGGCGTCGTGGTTTAGACCGCTATCAACGTCAACTTCCGGTCCGTGTTGGTGGTGGTCCAAGGCAATCTCAACGCTTATAATTATGTTGACGCCATCCTTCGTCTGCTCATGTAAAGAAGAAACATTTGGAAGTGTTCATGGGACATTTAATATCTGGTATTGATATCTTTGAAGGGGAAGATGGCATCGATCACAACAGGATTTATGGCATTCCAGGATAATGTTTACTGCATCTCCTACAGATACCTATGTTCGATCAGAAGTGCTCACTTACTTAGATTCCTCTATTCGAGTGTAAATGCTCTCTGACCTTCCTTCAGCCCCAGAGTACTGTTTTGTTTTGTAGTACTGTCACGTATGAAAACGGTGGAAACTCTACGTGGGAAGGTGGTGGACCACAATAACCTATTTGGCACAAGATGCGTGCATTGGTTGTTTATTATCGTAAAACCGATACTGTTATTCGAAACTTAGCCTGGCCTCTCCAATTTTATATTAAATCTTTAAATGACCGAAGAGTCCTTATCTACTTAACACCAAAGCAATCCGATGCCCTAGAGAGTTGATTATGGGCTTGTCATGTTAATGATTTAATCATAGCTTATGTAACATTTGAAGCCAAAATACATGGAATGGGGTTTAACGTCCTACTGTTCTTTTCCTATACTGGGCTAATGAAGACGGACATATGCCATACAGTGTGCTATCAGGGTAATTCTGCCCGGGCAGCGCCACTATGGCCTACTCTTATATCGATTTCAACTGCCAAGGGATCTTTTACGTGTACGTCAATACGGGTCCTCGGTTTTTCGTTCCATCCGAACGACTAGACAGCTGTCCTTGTCAGGCCCTCCATTCTGTACTACTGACAAGGGGAAACCACGCCGGAAAATACCGATGAACTTTCTCGGCCAATGCAGGGATCGACCACGCGACTTCCAGGCTAGCGAACCACCGTGTTACCTACTTAGCCACCGTGGCTCCCGAAGCCAAAATAAAGACCTGCAATAGGTAGATTTAGCTCTTACATAATGCATCTTTAAAGAGTGCTATTGTTATTACCTTTCCTTTTTTTTAGGTCTATATTAAACATGCATTATGCAAGAGCTAAATCTGCATATTGCAGGTCTTTCTTTAGGCCCGAAACGTTATCTACATTATTAATTAGACATTAGTTAACTGATCCATGTCATAATCAACTCTAGATGCCATACTTAGCCTGTGATATTTAGTGGATTTGAATACATGGATAATTTAACGACAAATGGATAGTCGAGAACTAGTTATATAGAACTAACCTTTGTAATATTAAATCGTTAATATCTGGGTTCAGAGTGAAGTAATTTGACTGGATTGTTCTGTTTTCATTATCTATTTTTAACTATTATAGCGAGACCTGTCAATGTAGCAATATCGGATCTTTAATCTCAACGTTGTATTCTCGTTCGTAACTTAAGTTACAACTAAAGCTCAGGTTCTTTTCTTAAATATTTTATTTGAATAAACTGGAAGCGTTGCTCACAAATCTTCGTCGTCTTAAATAAGTATATAAGTGATATGACCGGCGGTGTGAGTTCTACCGAATTCTATCTCCCCACTATATTAGATTACGTCAGAGACTGTCCGCCGTCGCGATTCCAAATATGGAACTGACACACCCTATACCTGGCAGGGACACGTTCCATTCCTGACCATACAGATGGCATATGATAAATGTTTTTCATTAACCCTTGGTTCAATTCATTATCATGCCATCCCAGACCCCCCCCCCCCCCCGTGCTGTTTCGAGTATTTATAAATCTGTAAACCATAATTAAACACAATCCACAACACTACAACCATCACACAGGTCAATTAGTACTCGTACTGATAACACCTAATGCACCAGAGCTCCAAAGCTATCGTCTAAATTTATCTAAAGATAAAGTAGCCTAGCAAAGACTCGAGAAAGACTCTCCAATCGACTTTAAGACTCTACAAAGATTCTTCAGTCCCAAGGTTGTCTTTCTATCTTTTTTCTACTTATTTCGTTCTTTATTTCTTATACCTGTATAAGGTATAAGTTTCTCTTCTTTATTTTTCCTTCTCTTTTTAATTTTTATTTTTGACAGTTCTTTTCGGTTATTCTGTGTCATTTTTACTTTTATTTTTCACATTTAGTTGGGTCTATCTCTCTTGGTATTCTTTGTTTTCTAGGATTTTTTCTTTTATTTTGGACAGTTCTTTTCGGTTATTCTGTTTAAATTTTTATTTTTTTTATTTTTTACATTTAGTTGAACCTATCTCTTTTGGTACTTCTTTTCTTTCTAGGATTTGTTCCTTTTATTTTCATACTTTTCGTCTATTCTAGATTAGTTTTTATTTTTCTTGTTTCTTTTCCTTTGGTTTCTAGTTTACTTTTCTTGTATCAATAGCCTCATATTTTTGTTTATTTTGGTAGTTATTTCTCATATTTTTCTCTCATTTACTTTCTTAGTTACATTATCGTTACAAGGGCTTCATTTCTATTTTCTTTGTTAGGCAATCAGTGTCCAAGCGATCGGAGATTAGCTCAAGCGATTGAACTACACTCAGATCAAAGATATTAAATCAAGGGCTTAGCCGCCTTTGTTGAGCTAACGATCTGACAGCTGATCTGCTAATTGGCTTATACAAACACTAGGAACCTATAGTTAATTAGTGTAATCAAAACTGATTAACTTGTGGATCTGTGTGGAAAGGGTCAATCGCAGATCATCAAGTAATCAACCAATCAATTACTATTTAATCCTAACCACTCTACTTTAGAGTAACAATTAGAACCATCTCTTGTTGATCCCTCTTTAAATTTAGACTTTCGAAACAGGAAAAGGGAAATGGAGTCCGTGACTAAGCTCAACATGTCGATGGTTGAGGCTTTCAACAGCAGTCCGGCACCATCGACCTTTCCAGCGGCTAAAAAGAGGGAGGAACAAGCCTTCGTCGTCCGGGTGAGTCCCGCTGAAGGCAAGTCCTTCAAAGGGACCAAGCTGACGGCGATAGGGAAGGAGATTAAGAAGACCTGGGGTATTATCGATATCCCAGACATCAGAGTAACTGTCCCTGAACACGTCCGACTGGCTTTAAAATCACAGGAGGACATGGACAGGGCAGTGAACCAGGTATCCCTTCTCGGCATAGAAGTGAGGGTATCCCAGCCGTCAACCTTGTCAACCGAAAAGGTGGTGGTTCACGGGATTCCCTC